TCTAAACATACAGTACTGCCAAGAAACATTGGATATCGAATGAGCAGCATTCTGATACACCTCTGAATGGATGAGCATACTGGGTGCTGCAAAACATGCTTGACAGAAACAGATCGTGAAACAGTTATTAAGTGCTGCAGTTTTAGTTTAATAAACAAATGATTCCTGAAGCTAAAAGTAATGAAGTAAGATCTCTAGTGTAGGTGGCCTGAGAGAGAGACTCACTGCTACCAAAACTGAATAGGTCAATAATATGTCTGCATAGTGTTTTATACACAAAGGGTGCTTTGAGCAACACATTTTTATCCCTATAAAATTCCCCACAAGGCTCTGACTGAATCAGCATATCAAGCTCATTAGACATCTGGAGTTCATTATGGTTGGACTAAAAATCACTGGACTTCCAATTCATGGTTGGCGAGATGACTCTCTTCACATGTGCCAAAAAAGAAAAAAAAAATGTGTGGTGGGGTTACAGTAAGAGTCAAGACGAGCTGAATGTAAACAAGACTGACGATCAAATTTTTATAAAGACATTTTTGTAGTTTTTTGGTTCCTCCCACAAAGATAACAGAGCTCTAACTGTAAGTAGTCTCACAGCATCACAACAATATGTTCCACTCTCACATTTCACACAGATTTAAACCAACTGTACTGAATACTGGAGTACTCTGTATAGCGCTGGAAAACTGCCACATATATTTCAACAGGAATGTCCACAAATGACTATAGACCATAAATCTAACATGTCAGCATTTATGGTATGTCAGTGCAGAAGAGTTACTCTCCACATGTCATTTCTGCAGCCTAACAGTTATGATTCACGATCACCCAATCCACCCCTGGTAATCACTACACTAAAATGTGGGTGTTGTACTGTGTAAAACTACAAAAATATATGCTAACATGTCTATTTTTGTTGGCACGAACATATCAAGGGGCAGTTATTCATGTCATTCCCTTGACAACAACTTTAGGAATGTTGACATTATGCTCAACCACCTTCGTAAACACCAACAACTTGTAAAAAGGTCCATCTCTCTCAGCCAACAGTTCTCCATAAAACTTTCAGGGCCATCTATCCCCATGAGTGCACCCGGAGGCCTGCAAAGCTCAGGGAATCAAAAGTGTCCCAGTTTGCTTTTCCATTCCAGGGGAAAGAAAAACAGCTGTGCTGATCAATCAGAGGGGATGACGAGAGGCATGCTGCCCACGGAGAGGCCACAATGGACCCCGAGCTTAACGGCTACGAGTCCACATGAAAGGGCCTCACACTGCCCAGTCACAGAGCTCACTGTGCAGAGAAGAAAACATCCCTCCACCATGACCGTGCAGCCAGCACTGCTCCCCAGACACTGGCTTGGCTTAGCACAGCACCAGCATGCCAAACCAAACAAGAGGCCCACTCACATCAGATCTGAGAAAGTGCATCATTCCAAGCCATCATCATCATCATCATCATCTATATAATATGTATATTTCTATTTAGTAAAAAGGAGTGGCCATTTCTGTTGAGCTGAATTTTCCTTAAGTTCCCAGCCTCTTTGATACTTTAATTACTTCAATTTTCATCCAACTGTGTCTATAAAGGTTTATATTTTGACACCATTAAAAATAAACTCCATTCTTGAATGCCAAGTCGTTTTTCCTGCTCCAATTTGATGAGCACAGTTTTGGCCTCAATTTAGAATAACGAAGCACAAGGCCGCCTTCCTCCTGTGACGGCTATCCTCCTGTGAAGAGAACAATGGACAGTAATGCATGAAATAGAGGATGTGGGGATTGACAGCTACTTCTTTAGATAAAGAACTCCGTGACACGTCATACAGCCAAGGCCACTGCACCAAATTTAGAATCGAGAGGAAAAGTTTGGCCAGCGCTGGCACAAAATGTTGTGTTGCCCGGCTGTAGCTGGAGATCTTACACTACTGAGGATATTTGTAAAGCAACCTCACTGTCCCAGCACAGGATCGGACAGCCCACTAAGGCAACCCTCAGGAACCTCAAAGTGCAGAAACTGCAAACCCAGACACGGAGCCTAGTCTTAATGGTCGAGCGACGGGTCATGTCTCATGAAAAGCAGTTTGGTTTTGGCTCTGCTCAGTGCAACAGAGATCCCATTGTGGTCACTTCATGATGATATAAACAGATGCTCTGAATCATGACAGTGGCCGAGCAGTTCAGAAACAAGCTTATGTCCAGATTCCAGTAATCTAGGATGCACCATGCATTTAGCTCTTTTGTCACGACTGTGACTTCAAAAGCAGTTTGTAATATAGCCAATGATTTGAGAGTTCAATTCCCAGTCCCTCCACGTCCTGAAGTATTCTTGATTGATAAATATGAGCCACTGATAAATAAACTCTATAGTTCATATTCACCACAAGGCAAGTTGGTATAAAAGTAGAGGTAGAAACAGCACTATAGTAAATATAAATATACTAAAATGTCTGTTTTTAACCTTATAAAGACTGAAGCATGAAATAATTTGCAGATAATTCTAGTGTATCAGGAAAAAAAAAATATCCCCACTTGTGTAGAGGTCTCAAATACTTCTGTATGATATGTGGTAGAATTGGTATTACTGGGTTAAACATCCATTTAAATCTTTCGATTCGGTCATACATGTGGTCGGTCTGGTATCGCAGGTGGTCTAAACTCCAACCAAAAGACATGGCTGTGTGTTGAAAAGTTTCTCCTTAGAGTGACATGGCTTAAGTACAGTCTGCGAGTGTCAGCAGGCTCTCTGGTGTCCACTGAACTCCACCCCATACCCCAGCCCCCATCCATTTGAGTTTCATCACACAACAGCATGCCTTGTGACACAAGGGAAAAAGCAACACCAGGCCATCACAGCCACTATTGTATACAGGCTTTTTCTCAGGATATCCAACACCCTGGAAAATGGCGGATCCTGTTGCGCACCCCACTCTCTCTGCACTCAGGGAGCCAAATCAGGGGTGGAAAAGCCTTTTAGGAGCTTTTCAGTGAAGTTGATCACCTGATACAGAAGCACTCTGCACCTCTCAGTCAGGACAGAGGCCCTTGGCACAGACGCTCCACATCTCAGCGCTCAATGGGATGCTGAGTTCCTGCCAGCGCAAGCAACATAATGCACAATGTACCCATGGCAGAACTTTTCCAAGCCATCTCCCCATCGAGCACTCTGAAAGAACTCCACTCACTAATCTCAGCGCTGCAGTGGGAGGCTCATCACTACTTTAAAACCGGGATAGAAATCTCTTGGGGTTAGCCAAAAACCCAAAACTCTCTTTCCTGAGACTGATTTAATTCAAAGATACTCAACAAATGGTTAAAAATAACCAAGAAAAGGCTCCAAGAGGAAGTCGGACAATACAGAGTCCAAATGAAGAAAAATAAGAGGAATTATGATTTTTAAAAATGTTAAGAAGAATGGAAGAACGGGCGACTCCATGAATACCACAAACATGTGAGGCTGTCCCAACAGGCGTGTGTTCATTCCTAAGAGCTTGCCAATGGAGCTTTGAGCCACAATACAGCTCCTAATGTGTTTTGGGCAAGCCAACTTCCAGTTTACTGCACCATGGTTTTCAGGTCACCACAGTGGAACTCCACAGTCAGTTTCAGAACATGGTTGTAAATGCCCCCCTAAAAATAAAGTGAACTGATATGTCAAAGTGGCCTACAGTGTTTTTTAGGAATTAATAAAGCTTTAACCTCGTATCAGTTAACTGTAGCAAACTGTGGAATTCAGTTGTCAAAATTAGTTACACTAAATTGATATTAGCTAAATATTAGTTAGAGTGGTTCTCCTGGTGTCTAAACAACCAAGAGTACCCCAACATGAGCCACTGGCCTTCAAGGACGTGACAAAGAATCTAAAACTTGAAGGAAAACCTTTAAACTGGACTGCCTTACGCAGCTGCCTCTCAGGAGGAATGCTCCAATGTTTTGAAGTTCAAACCTCTGCATATTTATCTAACGTTATGTAATGTCCAGAGTTATAAAAATGGATGGAATTCCTTGTGGCACTACAAAAGGTCTTGAATGTTTTTTCCTGTTCTGTCATTTCACATGTTTCGTCTTCAGTGGGACCCGTGCATGTAACTAAGTATGGAGGCATAGCTGAAATAGCTTATGATGAACTTTCCCACAACATTTTCTCTCTTTACTTCACGGAAGTCTTTCCAGACGCTCTAGTCCCCCGGTTTTGGTTCTGTTGCTGGAACGAGGAATGGACACAGCATACTTGCAGATAAGTCTGTGTTTTACGTCTCTCCATATCTTGCAGCCTATTGAGATTAATAAGTCTCCATTTTTGACAACTAAAGGTTATGGCCATTGTTCTGAAGGAAAGCAATAGCTTTTTTTCTTGGCCCAGGCTTTGAATGAAGCAGCTCCAGACGGTTGTTCATCTTAATGCCAGATATTTTGAACGCTGACCTTTGTAGTTTGTACACACCCTGCTATAAAAATGCCAAACCTTATCAGTTTCCTGCCTTTACTGTTAAGTGCACAGTCAGTACACTGTCCGCAAACCTATTCAAGGGCACCTTCTGTGGCATCAGAAACAAACAATTCAAATGGGAAGGCTGAGGCTTCAGATAAGTCATTCTAGCGGACTGGACTAGCCCAGTCAAAATAAATACTCTCCACACAGTAATACACAGTGGACAAAAATCTTCAGCTGTACTGTCTGTGTGAACTGCAGCCTAAAACTGCAGCTACAGACGAACGACAGTCCAGGAAAATCTATGGCTTTCAAGCCTGGACACGCAAATAATGATTCTGACTCACAAATACCGTAAAACAACAAAGGACACCCACAAACTGTGTTTTGAAGACAGTAATTTTAAGTTACTTAGCAACCACTGTCTCCATCTAATTAAGTGCTCTTTATTACAGAAATTGTGCTTCATTATTTGCAAGGTAGAAAAAAGAATGACTGAACAAAAGTCAATAACTCCTACGTGTAAGGCAGACTGCTGAAAACCTTCAACAAAAACACTTCAACCAACCTGTGACACGAGTCCTGACAATCTCGTATTTCTCTCCTCTGGTGACCTTGAGTGCAGCTGAAAACTGTAACATATGGACAAGAAAAGAAAAAAGATATCAGTCATAAGAACTTATGCTTTTAGGTTGGTCACAATTCACACAGAGACACGCATCAGTCGTCAGAGATTCTTCTGTACTGCATATATTTTACTGTAGCACGTGGCACCTTTATTATCTCAGTATGTATTACACTATTATGATATTATTGTGGCTTCATAGTTCCTGCTGCCTCAAAAAGGCTAATAATATCATAATCATAACACAAACTCTATGATCAACTCACCCTGGTTGTATTGTTTTTTTTTTTATGACTGTTGTGAATGATCTATGCACTTTATTTCCTTATACACATTACAAGTTACTGTGGCAAAGAGTTTATTGTATTTAGTAAATCAATAGGACTGCATTACAAAATACAGATTTAATAGGTTATGAGGCAACCCCCCCAAAAACAAACAAAAACAAAAATTATATTAATACTTAAATCAAGTCCTGGGCAGGAAACTTTACCAGTGCATGCAAGGGAGGAAATCTAGTTTGAAATATGGCCTATTAAAGGTTGTTCAACAAACGTCCGAGTGCAGACAAAACCGCGGTGAATGTTCCACATTCTGCCTTTTGTTAACGTGAATGCAAACGGAGGAATGTGATATCCTGTGCATATCCTTTGTTACTACAGCACAATCCCATGGCTCCACTTTCTGTCTGTTATTCCCATACCTATTGGCTTGCCTGTTGTTTGGTCAAGAGACCACTTGCTACAGACTTTGTCCAGATACAAGCCTATTTAGGAAGTGAACGGTTGGATTTTTGGAAAGAAAAAAAGAAAAAGAAACAGTAACAAAAAAAACAAACAAACAAAAAAAAAAAAAAAAACTTACACCTGAAATGTGGAGCTCTAAAAATCTCCTTTTTTAGACCGCTAACGCTTAGGGAAATGCTTTTTTGTGTCTCTAATGTTACAGGAGAAAACTGTAACTCATGTTTCTCTGCAGAGAATTCTTTAAACTACACAACTTTGCATGTCAAAAAGTATGAAAAGTGGACTTGCTTAAACATAAAGTATCACAGTGATTTGAAAAGCACGAGTGCACTACCTCTTGTTGATGGTTGGTGTCACCATCTCCATCCTTGTATCGGGGCTGGCAGGACGATCTGTTGAGTACGGTCCTGGAGATCGTGACACAGGGCTGGAGATGGTGTACTCTCTATAGTTTTGATTCTCATCTTGATTCAGTTTTACTGTTTCCTAAAAAAATACATCACATCAGAGAAATGTTACTACATTAGACTCAGCTGAACATGACTTGATCTTTAATCCTGTGTTTTGGCCATGCAAGCTGTAAAAGGATCAACAGAGGTACTTGTGAGAAATGTCACCACAAAAACATGTCATCTATCACTACATATTGTTTGATGAACTCTCACACCCGGTGTGAGCTCAGTAAAATACAAGTACTGAAAATGATTTAAGGTTTTACGGCTATTTGTGGACAGAAAAACAGACTTGTAAACAGATGTGTGATGCATGTATACTGTCAAGATTCGTTTACATTTTTACAAATAAACCAACATGACTTGAATATACAGAAAAAAAAAGAAAACATGACAATTATGGATATTATTCTGTCCAGATTTGATTATTGGCTTTGATTGCGGGACATCAAATATGTTGAAGTACTCTGTAGCTTCAGCACTGACCTTGAAACGTCCAATGAGCTGTTCAGGAGTGCCGTTGGTTTGTCCAACGCCGGGAGATTCAGGTCTTGAAAGAGAGAACAGCAGATCAAATGACTTTATAGGTGTATCTGATCAACTCTTGAAGAAAAAAATCAATTTCCATCGAGAAAGAGCCAAAGCAATGCGAAATAATCAGTTATTAAAATATATATATAAAAATAAATAAATAAATAAATAAATAAATAAATAAATAATAATAATGTCAGTGCCCTGCCAAGTGTCCACCATTATGTTGTCATGAATCTTTAAGATTACTGCAGAGCCTTCTTTACAAAATATTCTCTTGATCTCTCTGCAGCTTTTCAACTGTTGTTTTTCTTTCTTGAACAGAAGATACATTATGAGCAAGTCTATCACTGAAGCTGGAGGGGAAAATGTGGGTAGTGGAAGCGCCAATGCAAACACACAATGCCCCCTTGGCTGCAGGGCCAGAAGCTGCCTGCCTCTTGCTTGAGCTTGAGGTAATGAGGCACACAGGAAGGCCTGGATGCCTGTGGTAAATCACCCAGAAACACACCTCTAGTGGCTCTGGCTCCACATACTGTGTGGAGAAGAGATGGCAAGAAGACAAAAACTGATCCAGTCCCTGTAAGACATTTCTTCCCATAGGAAGGATATTAATATTGTACGCCTGAAAAACTCATTACTTACACTTTGTAGAATGTATATCAAACATCAGAGGAAGCTGTGGCCTACAGACGGTAAGAAGTCAGATGAGTATTTAGGCTGTAACCAATGCTCTTGGTTAACAGGTCTCATTTACAGAAGAATTATTAGTGGTAACAATGTGTGATTCTGAACCACAGAGATGTAAAACTGACCCAAAAGCAGCATCCGAAACCCTGTACTGATAATAGCCTTCACATCTGGAAATTCAAAATGTGAATTTTTGGAATACCACTCTGAGAAAATGAACCAAAAACACTTCATCTACAACTAGATTTGAAAAGGATTGAAACCGGCAATAAACAAGAGCTGATTTTTGTGTGTTGATATCACATTACCCTTTTCCCTATAAAATAAATAAATAAATATATAAGGCCGGCATACAACCTGGATTTACTTATTTATCATTTTTACTTTAAAAAGGCAGGAAATTAGAAGAAAACTACTGCACAATAAAGCAAAAAGGTGCCCTGAAAGCTAGCTCCATGAAGAAAAGGGTCAACATCATCCAGCAGGAAAAAAAAGAAAAGAAAAAAAAGCAATGTATAACGTTTTAAGGATCAAATTTGAAATGTGGTAGCTACTCCTTCAGTTGAAAACATATTCAGTTAGCTATGTCTGGGATTAATCTGATGTTGAACTGACCAACAATAAACCACTATCTCAGTTTAAAACATCAGGCACAGCTAAACACAAAACTTCTGAGTACAGACTGATGCCAGCTTCCTTCAGTGGGCACCCACATCACTGCTGGAAGGAGAGTGCTCTCAGCTAAGAAAAGAACTCATTAAACATTAAAGACTTGTGCCACTCAATTACCATCCTCAAGAGAGCTCATCTGAACATAAGTCAAAGATCTGAAGTGCTAAATGAGTAAAATTAAAAACAGAAGCTTCGGTGTAACCACTGACAGCTAACAGACAGAGTGGCACTGTCTTGGGCAGCGAAGGAGAATTACTGTTGTTTCTGGCTTGGCAGGAGACATGAGGTCAGACGGGAAAAATTCACTCACATGGACGTAGGACATCCAGAAAGGATGTGTGTGTGTGCGCGTGTGTGTAATAACAGATAAAAAAAAAATATGATTGGAAGGCAACTGTGACAACAAATAATACTTCAGGGAGGACCTTTAATCAAGCCAAGAGCAATTCCGACTGAAGGGAAAGATTATTCTTAGTTCCCAACTCCCGTCATCCAAACAAGGAAAATCTCAAAGTAAAGTTTATTAAGAAGGACCAGGGAAGGGAGTAGGGTGGCTCTCATACATGCTGGCATTTCCCCTGATTATAATCACTTGTTTTGTTTGTACAGTGCTTAAAAATGGTGTAAAGAAAGATGGAAGCTAGGGAGACTGTGGTTTTGGCACAAACAGAGAAAATTAGAGACGTAAAAGATACTCTATGTGGGACTATGCAGCCTGCATGTTGTTGCATTGTATGGCACTGTATTTGTTTATTTTATGTCTATAAGACATATTCACAAAAAAAATGACATTGTAGCTCAAACGTTAGTCCTACTTCAGATCTGCATGTCAGCATACCTCTCCACCACCAGCTGCAGAGAGGTCTTGGAGTTCTTGATCTTGGTCTGGGCCTCTGCATTCAGCATATCAGCCGTGTTTTCTCCATTGATCTCCAAAATAATGTCACCGGCTTGCAGGGCTGCCTGCTCTGCCTTGCCGCCCTCATTGACCTGTTGAACAAAGGCATGAGCTCCAGTTTAGTCCTAGCCCCAGGTCTTAAAAACAACACTTTTTAGGAAGCTATCTAACAAGCATAGACATCTCTGACTTATCCCATGAGTGTGTGTATACCCTGACATCGACTGACCAGCACAACAAATGAATAAACGAGAAAAGACACTGAAGAGTTGTTTCATACTTTGTTGCATAATTAACCCAAATGTCTTCCCCTAAAAGTCAGCCCTCGGTAAATGCCGACAAACACCACAGGATTTCCCAATAGTGGTCACAAGCAGATGAATTCATGACACCCTTGGGGAGAAGTCATTAGTGTGACTGTACTCGATGGGTTGACTTCTCTGACCTTTGCAACCAGCCTCTCCACGTGTCAGAGTCAGTACCATGCCCCCACATCAGAGGGAATTCCACACTAATGGGCCAAAATATAAGGTCCACACGATCTCGCTCAGCTTGGTCCCTGTGACCCAGCACACAGGCATACTAAATCTGAAGCTTAAACTTTAGTAGAAAGTATGTCATTTGCCACAAACTGTGTTGCCTCACAATTAAAAACAGAGAGAGGCAATAAAACAAAGAATGCAAAGCAAAATGAATAAAGAGCCTATCACTCTCTGCTGCCTCTTTAGAGGCAAATTTATGTGGAGTAAATGCCAGTCACAGGCCATTTGCCCACTTAGCCAGGCAGAGGTACCATGTCTGTGGGCCAACTTGAGAGGCAATTAAGGGTTGCTGTGGTGACCCACAGTTTTGCATGCCTTCTCTGATCAGGACATGCCTGGTTTCACATAAACTAAGATCAGCTGGGGGATCTTTTCCCAAATCTGTGCTTAAGAAAAACAAGGGCACGTTATCTTTCAGGCCAACAGAAATAAAAAGAGTGCATCCGTGGCATTTCTGTGCCAAGCACAAACCACTACAGAGGGTTAAACCTACATCTCTGTTTGGGGATTTGGGACCAACTGTTTCACACACACTTTACAAACCAATTTCAGTAATTAAGTTGTTGTTTGAGAAGGAATTCTTGTCACTTCACAGGATACGTTTGATATTTGAGACAAGTAAACACTGGTGTTGTTTACTGGATAGCACTAACAAAATCAGACCCATTATTCATGAGAAGACTAGTTTTTCTAGCATAAGCTGTTGAGTGGGGCCAAACAAAGTGCTTTGGAAGTTTAAGGAGCTTAAAACTCCAGCTGTTTGAAGCATGGATGCCTCTTCATGGCACTGCCATAACTTATCCTTTATGGACTGCGGGGAGGCTCAGTGAACAGGGCCAAAAAAAAAAAAAAAAAAAAACCACGCTGAGATGGTGATATAGCACCAGGATGTGCGGGTGAACAGGGTGTCTCTGGCATGTAGTTAGTCTGAGCAAGTTTCCTGGATGTGTTTACTGCAGAATGTCTGCTTACAGTAGTAATGTTTCCACTTCTTCTACTTCATCCAACTGGGAAAATATTGTCAGTAAAAATAAAACACACATGCTAAAGTGCACAGATTCACAGGGCAATCCATATTCTCACACATTTACACGTCGCTGTAACTCAGGAACCTCTCACCTCCCACCTCAGCTTCCATTTCTACTGTAATCAGCGATTTCCTTCTAATGCAATCTACTTCCATTCTATTCTAATGGGTTCAGTTGTCAAGGAAATAGGTATGCTGTTGCAGCGGACATAAACAAAGACAAGAAAAGAGGCGTAGCAAGTAGGAAGTTGACTGCATGACATGGCATTCCAGTCTGTGTTTTGAAAGAAAAAAAAATGGGTATGGTATTATAAGGTGTGACAGGGTTCAGCGTCAGGACTGCTGTCAACGAATACCTTTGATACAGTTATGGCCTTCTTGAAATCTCGTCCTCCATATATTCTGAAGCCCCATGGTGAAGGGCCAATCAGGTTCACTGTTAGTGCCATGGCGAGATTGGATCTTTCTTTTTCACTCTTGTCCAAACTCTGGGAGAAAAACAAAACAAATAAAAGAAACAACATCAGGTATAAGAAATGTCAGACCTAAACATGTGCATGCCTTAATGATCTCAAGTCACATGCCTGAGACAGGTTCAAAATACAATCAACAGGAGAGGACAGCGATCATTTGCACAAGATGGCCTTTATCTCCAGCACAGCTTCTTTCACTGGCCTAAGTCCTCTCTGACATAGATTATCCAACCACATCAAATAAGAATGGAAAGAATCTGAGACCAAATTCACATGACCAACATTTCTAAAGCGTTTGTTAAGTTAAATAGTTTCATTAAATCCAAGTGCTCTTTGAAGACTAAGGAAACACAGTGTACAGTGGAATGTGCTAAGAGTACATAGTTAATTGTTACTGACTACTTTCTAGAGTACAGTAGAGAGTGTGTGATGTGTGTGTGTGTCATATATATATATATATATATATATATATATATATATATATATATATAAAAAATAGCAACTATTGGTTATTGCAGGTAAAACCAACAGTTTTTATATGTGAATATGTATCTCAGTAAACACTGGGGTAGATTCCACTAGTGTAATTAAAACCTGGCACTAACTAATCATCAGTTACACAACTTCTGAAATATTCATGAGCATAAACCCAGAATATCTTTTAAAGTATTAAAATTCTTGTGCTGATGTTACTGGTAAGACGTGATTCACCTGCAGGTTTTCTCAGGCTCTGCTTATGGACTGAAGCCTGTCTGTAGTACGACTTCACCTGGAGACAAAGAGCTCTGCAGTGTGATAATGTGATGAAAAGATAAGCCCTTACAGTCATATACGCATCAACACCCGTACTGCTAAAACACACACACAGCTGCAGCTTCTCATTGAAACTCATCTCACAGAGAAAAAGTGGTGAAGACATTAGCGCAACAAGTAATATATAGTTCTACACGCAGCTCATGACATAAGCTATTTTAAGTATAGACCGCTGCAAACAGAAAAAATAAACACCAAGTAGCATCTCTTTTCTATTCTCTGCTACTCAACTCATAACACAAGGCTCAGTCTATGAGAAAGCTTCTGGAAATAAACACAGAAATTACACTTTATTGTTGACTGTCATTTTTCTATAATAACACTATGGATGTTTTTACTCTTTAACCACAGTAATTCTTTTCAGTGACAGAGTGTGAAATATGCTGACCTGCACAGTCTGTAGCACCTCTGATTGCACACTGTGACTGTATCAGCAAATCTTCTGATAAGGTCTAAAAAAACCAGATATGAGCCAACTAGAGTACGTTATACACTGTACACCCTGTGACGTACATTTTCCAACAACGTCAATTTTCATCTTAAGCGATGTTACTCAAGGTCCCCATAAAAAAAAGTAAACAAATACTGCTAGTGACTGCATAATGCACTTATCACAGATTGTGAAAATATGACAAACAGGCAGGACAATGAGAAATCAAATCAAATCACTTTTATTGTCACATCACATGTGCAGGTACATTGGTACAGCACATGCGAGTGAAATTCTTGTGTGCGAGCTTCACAAGCAACAGAGTTGTGCAAAATACAATAACATAAATCACAGACCAAGTAAAGTGGATCTAGGACAGCAGCCATGCTACTCCCCTGAATCCCTCCAAACACTGGCCCACTTCATGGTACGCACATTCCACAAGAGTTTGGAACAAGCAATGCAGACCCAGTTACTCATTAACAGTCTGGGCCAATTAGCGGGCTCTCCATCATTAGTATCTCTTAATTGCTGTGGCCAGAAATAAGTGCAGTAGTGATAATGACAGAGCTGCTGTCCAAAACTTTCCCAGCCTCCGGGGGTGTCAATTAGTTCCATAAGTCTCTACAACTACTCCTATAGAGAGGCCATTATCGTCCGAGAAACCTGCTAATTCTCTGTGTAAACATTCACTGTTTGCATCATAAAAATGCTTGTGGTGGAAAGGGAAAGTATGGTGAAAGTCTGGGGGCAGTGGAGATGGACGACAACACATTGTGGCGGTGAAGATAAGTGGCACGCTCGTCATGTGCTGCGTTTAATTGGTGACTGATGAGCTTTAAATAGGCTGTGTTGCTGAACACAGTTTAATGAAATGTCTCTAGTCCATGAAATTACTGCTGGGAAGGTGCCAGCACACATAAAGGTAAGTTCTCTTCTGGTGACATCTCACTGCTATTGCTGCCAGGCCAGTTTTTGCAGCACAATTCAATACGCCCAACACAATGAAAAGAATTCTAGTTATGAAGCTATTTCTATAGCTTGTAGTTCAGCACTGGCCACAAAGAGCTGGAAGTGTGCATGAGAATAGAAAGCGATCCCTCTCACCTCCAATTAATACAATAGACAGGTTTACAACTTAACTGCGTACGGCCTGTTGCTACAACAAGCAGTGAGACGTCAAGTCAGATTACTTTTTACTACAGGCTACATAATTTTCTGAACAAACTCAAACTGCATATCACACACCCAGCAAGAATTACTGTATTCCAGTACAACACTACTGTATCAAATGTCACAGTCAATGAGACATGTTGGTAAAAATTATGTTTTAAGAAGGGCCACTTCAAAGTTTGCAACAATACAACTAACAACGGATTAGTTTCATGAAATTACTGGCCATTTATACCAATTTGCCACTTAGCATTATAGGCTCCATATGGAGCACACCAGCATCATCGAGTGGACCAGGGGTATTCAGAGCAGTTTAAAATGTTCATCACAGCTTTTTTGTTAAACAGGTGTTTGACAAATTGATGCCTGTTACTGGTGGGATTCTGTCCCACTCGTAGATAACAAGCATAGTCATCAACATAAACTACAACCCAAAGTTTTATTAATCACATTCTGTCACTGCAAACAGGTAGCAACACAAAGTATTGTCCATATCCTACTGAATGCTTCACATTCCTTTTCTTTTTCCCCTCACATTAACAAACCACATGGTGTGGTCACATAATTCTTTCTGCCTCACATTCCTAAATGCAGCCGTCATCGTTTCTGCTACTTTTTTTAGCACTTAAATGATTTGTTCATTAACTTAAGTTTTGATTAAGATTATTAAATGAAAAGAAAAAGAATTTGAAAGTGTGTAGAGGATCAGTTCTTACCCCCAAGAAGTACTTTAAAGTTTGTCTAACAACTGCTACTAAACATTGCTGCACTATCCAGCAATAAACCAGACATCTTGAGGTTTTACATTGTTGTTTAAGACAAAACAAGAAAACTGGCTATCATCAGGTAGCACTTTAGGAAACTGATGTTAGGCGTTATATGTTAAAGGCTTCTGGGTACTTGCAATCTCTGAGTGGTGCTCTCTACAGGCAAACACGGTTACAAGCAGTACAAAGGGGCAGAATAGGCCTTTCATAATGTCAGAGTCAAGATTCATTGGCTGTACCTGTGCAATGCCTTCAGGGTTTAATGTAAAGTAGTTTTAAAATGTATCATTTGTATAAAACATTTCTGATATTACCAATAGATACTGCAGCTTTTTACATTATAAAAATAAAATATTAGTTACTGTATGACATACATCATGAAACTAATCTGTTACACGTAGCTTTTGGTTGCCACACTGAGCTTATGTTCTGAGAGCAAAGTCTTGCAGGACTGTAGCTGTCTTTATCAGTGTCTGATGATAAATCAGGCACATGCAGGTTTCAGTGTAAAGACATTAACATCAACTGATATGCAATCTAGTAAGCAACACGTTGCTATGGGCAGTTAGGCTGAATGAAACCTGCTGACACAGGCCTGAAATCATGTGTCTTAGTGTGGTATTACAATGACTCATCAAGGGTGAGTCATTAACTTTGATCACCATTTTGACACTGGCATGGGAACCAGTAGTCATATTTACAGATGCATTGATATTCATTAAATCAAAGCAGACAGAGCAAACTGTGAACACCAAAACAGGAAACCGTTACCATCATTTTGCATAACAAAGCTGAGAACTAACACCTCATTTATTTCAAGGAATGAATATTTTGGAAAAACAAGTTGTTACCATATGTACAGCACTGGAAATCGAATATTCGTGTAAACTATATGCCACTAGGTGATCCAACTTAAAAGCCCTGTACAGTAAAATGTCTGACAGCCAAAACTGGCTCTTTAACTTTCTTTTATCACTAGAGTGCTTAAGTGAGACAGTTTTTCTTCTGTCAAAGCTGTGCCAAAATCCACTGGAGCGAAATGAACAATGGCTGATGAACATAGCAGACACACACATTCAACTGAAAGCTCTTTAATGTGAAGGAACGCTTTCTCTTAAAAGAACTTCTGTGGCTTCAGGGAAATATTCCTGGTATGAATCACACACTTGTCAAAACTCTCACAGGTCGCCGTGCACCAATGTGAATTTTCCACAATCTCATGTCAGCGATGCAGTCTGCAACCTGTGTCACAAAGTACACTGACAGGTTGGCACCTACCTGGACACACACACCCACTGAATAAAAAGGAAAAGAATGCAGTGGCAAGCCTCTCCCTCCAATAAGTCGAAAGCAGTAGCATTCAGCACATTCTGCACATCATACCCATCTGGTCAGATATATACCAGCAATCACTAAGGAGATGAAGAGAATATCAAACAATAACATGTGATGTCAAATGGGGTGTTGGTTGGTGAATTTCTGCATTGTTGCATATGGCTACGATGTGTCACCAAAATAGTTGTGGAATGAAACACACCTGAAAAATGCCTTACTCCCTTTTCAATAAGAAAACTTTCAAGGGTGGATGCTGCTAGTGGATTTGATCTCACATTATTATGGTCTTAAAAGTGTTGCTTAATGCAATGTAGCATCTAATAACATCCACCACTTACCAAAGTGCATTCATCACTTTGTGGCAGCACTGATACAGCTGACAGAATTGAAACGAATACTGTGGCACTGGCTGTACTTGTCCCTTTTCATTATTGCTCTTTGCATTTTTACATTTTCACTTGCAGATTTTCAGCAATCAAACGGGTTCACCACATCCTTTGCTTTCACCTTCTGGCTCCTCACACCAACAACTGTGGTGCTCTTTGCATGCCAAAGGTACCGAGGCAACTGAGAACCTTTGAGAAAGCTGAACATCCTGCGGCTCATAAATCTTGGTGTAAAGTGAAATAAATAACAGTCTAAACCACCACTCTGGCTCTGGCTCAGTTAAAACTGAAAAACAAACTTCTGCAACAAAAAAAACAACCCACACTTATCTTTCAGACCAAAGATAAAAACGACTTCCTGCATGCATGTTCATCTGAGTTGAACAAAAATCAAAGTTACAGCAAGGCAGGAGGATTAAAACTCAGAAAGTAGGCGAAAAAAAGAAGAAAACGTTACTTCGGCTCAGTTAAAACCTCAGTGCGATCGTAAAAACAAACAACATATCTTTCCGAGTTAGAAGTAATGACCTGGCCCTTTCTGTGTGTTTTCTTAAAAAGCTGCTGCTTTGGTACAAAATTACAGTGGACCGTTTCTGGGTTTCTGGATGGCTTTATCCTGTCAGAGAGTTCTCTCAAATAAAGCAAAACCATCGGGAAACAAACAGTGAGAGGAAAAGTATAAAGAGCAGGCACATGAAAGGCAAGCAGACACAATCAGAAAGGTTAAAGTATAGAGACAGCAGGCAATGGAGATTTGAAAACACGATTGTTTCACTGTGACTGTTCTGGATTGCACTCCTCAGCAGTTTCACCCTCTCATCCGCTCACACAGCCAGGTCATTTTAAACCCACTTTAAGTGAAGTGAGAGGGAAGATAATAGCACCAGCAGCCGGCTAATGTGACATAAATACTGACTTAGAGCTTCCTGAGGTTGCACCTGGTTCAGCCTCTCCACAAATCAGCATGACTGCTTAATGTGCGAAAAAGAAAAAAAGAAAAGAAAAAAAAATCTGCTTCTCTGAACTCAGGAGGGATGGAAAATCTACAGTAGGTGCTGGAAACATGCACATTGTGGCTTTAGGCTCATCTATTGTGTTAGACTGATTTCCACTCGGATCATGCATCATTACTTACAACAGCTCACACATTGGTACCGTGCACTTTTAACTTTAATATACTTTTGCATATAAATCCTGTGTGTTGCTCTACCTCATATTTTCTAAGATTTCCATACAACAGATACTTAATGACAAATTTAGACTCATAATGAATCACGTTTTATAAATCAAACACTGCAACAGAAGGGGAAAAACTGCACCACCACCCCTCCGAAAAATAAGAGTATTGAGAGTCACAATTAAGCTGCGTGAATGAAATTAATTGGCTACAAGGCTTTAGAGCCGTTTAAATTGTTCAGGTCGCTGTAGCCACTTACCAAACTGAATGTAGTGGGCTTTAAGGTTCTTCTCCCACCTGTTTGGGAAAAAAAATAAATTGAAAAAAAAAAATACAAGACAGGTCACAGCTCACTCGAGTCACCAAATCGCAAACATGAAACAGAAAAGCTCCACTGCTACTCCCACCGAGTCTGTGTCTCTGGAGTGTTGAGTCAGAGAGGATGGCACGCGTGAACACCACTTGTGACGACGCGCGTAGTTGTAACAGTGATGGTATGAGCTCGAGAAGCCATGTGCCGTTCCCAAAATAAAAACGATGACATGGTTACCGGCCCAGGGCGTGTCGCATCAAGGAGGAGCAGGCGAGAGGAGTGTACCGCAATGATAATTGAATCATTTGTTTAAAAAAAAAAAAAAACGAAACAAAACGCGGTGGTTGCGCTGTGTGTGTTCACGCGCCACCTGCTGACGGAGCAGAGCACAACGGCACGCGCCCCCACTCGAAGCAGCTAGTTGAGTGTCACGGCTTTCACCTGAGACTGAACAGGTCGCTGGTTCACGTTAGCGGTGAGTCTGTCGCTTCGGTTAAACTTAGAATCACAAGCAGCTTCTTTGGACTGCTTTAATGTTGAGGGACACGCTGTGCAAAAGTCGCGAGCCATCTCCCCCCCCTAATACAATGTTTCCAAGCAGCCAGACTTTGACTAGTTCTCCAGGCTTTCAGAGAGTTTTTCAGTTTTTTTCATTGGACATTGGGTTTGTTTGTTTTTTTAACGTTTTTAAGTCCATACCTTGTATCTGACCACTTTAAAAAAAGTTGTTGTTTTTAATTTACTTATCTAAGGCACTTAAAACGGACCTATGATTTACCCAAGGATTAAAAAAAAAATCCCACCTACCTTAAGGGATGAGTGTTGCGTTTTTCACATAACAGACAAGTTAGCAAAGTTTTAAACTGTATGTTTTACTTTACTGGCAACTTGTTGCAATAACACATCGTTCCCATTTCTTTAGCCCAATCTTTGAAAACTGCCAAACATAACAGTTTGACAGGCATAAAGTTGTACTCTTGCACTAGTGGGTCAATTCTGAAAGGGCTAATAGCCAAAAACCTAGCAAATCTGAGCATGGTGTGCAATGTCCTTAATAAAATCTGAGGAAACTGGACAGGTGGCAGCCTAAAAAAACCACTACAGCAGATGAACAGTATCTGTAAGTCATGTCTTTAGAAATAAGGAAAAAAATCAAGTGAAGATCTTACACGGTGAGATGTATTTGGCACTTCAGTTGATCCATCTGCTGTGCACTGAAGACTCATCAGAAATAGTCTCAGTGGATAAGTGGCTGTCAAGAAGCTATTCTTAATGGAAACAGGGGGGATGGAGGACTGGACTGAAAATCATTTGCAACAGGTGTTATGGAGTTATGAATCCAAATTGGAAGTTTCTGGTTCTACAGCCATCTGTAAAACATAGTGGAGGCTCTGTCATAGTTCGTGACTGCATTCCAGCCAGTTGTGTTAAAATTAACACAATGATGTATTTGGAAATATGCAGACAGATTTTGATCCACCATGCACTAGCATATGGAAAGCATCTGATTGGCAGCAGCTTCATGTTTTAGCATGACATTGATGCCAAACACAGCTCATTGCAGTGAACCTATTTCTGATTTTCCTAGCAAAATATAAAGAAATGAGGGCTGGATAAAGACTTTTGCACAACACTTTATGGTACCAACAAAGAACTACTGTACCCAGTCTACAACTCAGACATCGTTAAAAAGGATATAATATTTTTTGACAAACACAATTCAAACATGCCTGCAGAAATATAGCAGGTAAAACACAAGAGAAACAACACAACTACCAATCAATTTGTCAGTAGGATATCATTCCATTTATTTAGCTTATTTAATACATTTAATATGTTTAATATCTGTTCATTTCACGTGGGCTTGTTCACTTCCTGCTGCACATATGGAGAAAGATAACCATGTATGTGTTTGTGTTATTGGTTCATTAAAACCTGCATAAACATTTAAAAACACAGTCCCGGTCACCTTATATGTAATCTAGTTTAGCTATTCTAATAATATCTAATAATATTACTGTTCCACAAAATTAACACATGAACAAAAGCTTCTTTCATTATCACTCTGTAATGTTTAATAGATTTATTTTAAAAATTGCGTACCATACATATGCAATATATTTTTTAAAAACAAATATATATTATGCTTTCCATTTGATAACAGGTTACAGTCTGTACAATCATCTTTTGTGTGTGCTAAATATACATTTTTTTTTTTTTACAGTGAAATCATGAATGTATCTTATAAAATTGCAAAATAACTTTAGAATAAAGATGCTTTAGTTAGGATTACAAACTCTGAGGTTGGATGGGCACAAATATATGTGATTTTCTGAATACTGTTATCAAAATTACCCCCATAAGCTGGGAAAACACTGTAGAAGCAGTAGTAGAACAATGTAGCAAGAATAAAGTGAGCTGGGAATGTGCAGGTTAACACAGGCGTGTGAATAAAGGTTAGCTTTGGCACATTCAGAATAAATTCAGATACCTTAAAAGATCATTCAGCCAATCGCTGTGAAGCCATCGTCTAGTCTTGACTTACAGACACAGCTCATCTTGTACATTCAATTTCAAAGCAAATACTTCTCTTACAGCATCAAACACATTCCATCTCTTTACTTTCAAATTTTCCGTTTAACTTTGTTTCTTATAAATGAGAAATACCATCCATTATACAATCAATAACTTGCTTAGGCGACCAATACATGCATTTTATACTTTTCAGCATTCATAGGTTGATATGTCTGAGCCCTCACTGCACTTTACTTTGAGCACCATTTACAGATTATCGTGTTGTTTCCTCAAAACTGCGTCGGGTCTGTTCAGAGATCTGAAAGAAAATCTGGGGAAAATATTTGAAGGAAATATTAATATTCCATGAAAGCTAGAAAAGGTTCTGGTCTTCACTGAAACTTCAGTGGTTTGTGACGGCACTGTGGTGATGAAAAGCTGAATGCAGTATCGTACTGTGAGGACCTCTGGAGAAACAGTGCTGTTCAGTGGGGAGAAATGCAAATTTCCTGCAGCTGCAAAGAGTCGCGGAACAATAGAATCCATTCTTTCAATCTGAAACAGTGTCATCTGCATTCATTCAATCTTCTGAAGTGATGTGCTTGAAAATATGCTCATTGAATCTCTGTGGTACACATGGTAACATGCAGGGAGGTGAGGTGAGAAATCACATCATTTCCCTTTCACATCATGAACATGCAGGCTGTACTAATCAACACTTGGGGAGTGTGGTGGATATTGGCATTATTAGTTGGCCTCTAATGACCCCTGATGGATGTGGGCAAGCAGTAAGTGAGGAAGTCAAACCGGTGCCACGTAATTCCCAGGAAAAGTCCCAAAAGCACGAGTCCGTTCTGACGTACCTAGAAAGGGGGCAGAACATATGGTGTGTTCATGAAACAGAAACTGTGAATCTGTGGGATCTTCTGCTGTTTAACTGTGCCTGTTACATATGCAATACATCATTTTGTCCACTAGATGGGGCACTGACACTGCAGAATGTTTTGAAATTGCTAACAAAAAAGGATCCCCATGTCTGCTTATGTACATTTTAACACTGTAGACATATCTGTAGTGATTCCCAGACAATCTAAATAAGGGTGACATGTCAAATGGCAAACTTGAATTAAAAGAATGTGTTTTTGTTTCCTGGTGACAAAAACTATTGTAGACGCTTGACTAGTTTGACAAGTATTACATTGTGAATACATGAATAAAGATATGCATTCAAGTTGTCGCCCAAAGCCAAAACATTCCTTTTCTTTCTTTTTTTTATTCCATCCATTTTTATATAAAGCCTTGCTTCAGTGTCTTGTTTCTACAATACACAGTATGATGCACTCAAAATAGCACTTATATATAAAGATATAAACCACGTACCTACAAACCAGCCATCATCACATTTCTCCACCACTTGAACAATGTCTCCTTCTTTGAGCTCCAACTCATCTGAATTCTGTGGTTTGTAGTTGTAAACAGCTTTATACCTAAAATTGAGAGCAAGCAGCCTTAACCACAAAGTCACCAAAGCTGCAACACTTGTTCTGTACTGTAACAATGTGAACAAACAAAAACATCTGATGACGTACGGTTGGTGTTGCACCATCAGTGAACCGGGGCTGTTTGGTGCTTGCGTTTGCGGCAGGGAGTTGGCATGTGGAGCAGCCTGATTAGGTATTGCACCCTAGGAAAAAACAAAAAACCTCATGTCATCATTATGAAATGGCAAATAATGAACAACATTCCTGTCAGCACAAACAATAACACTGTGGGTGTGTACAATGTGTCACTTTATCAGAAAGGCAGTGAGAGCAGACCTGCGAGTGGTCAGAGTATCGGGGAGTGTTCGCTGTGGGAGCTCCCGCTCTGTGTGCTGACGTTGATGAATGAGTGGAGGGTGAAATGGTTTTAACGGCGGCACTCTGGTTAGCTGAGGGTGTCCCAGCCCAGTGATTGTTGTGGTTGGTGGGTGAAACCGGTTTGGAAATGATGTGGTGCAAGCGATTAGCCATTTCTTTGGGCACGGGTGTCTGAGTGGGAGAGCGTGACTGTGAAGCTGGGCTGCCGAGCAGTGAAGGTGAAGACGGTTTCACGGGGGAGTGGTCAGGTTTGGGGCTCAGGGAAGTGTAGGTGAAAGGGGACAGCGGTGACCGCGGGGAAGGTGAGTGCAGTGGACGTCCTGGACTCTGGGGTCCAGGAGAGACGGGTGACATGGGTCCCGGTGAGTAGTCATCCATGGAGTATTTGGTGCGGGGCATCTTGTTGACCTGAACGTAATTGGCTGGGAAGATGCCGCTGCGACTTGTTCCTGGAATCCTGCCCTCCAACCACTGATCATCAACTCGCCTGGTTATGCTGATCACCTCACCCTAAAATAGAGAATCGAGGTTTAAAAAAGCTTTAAATGGTGACATAAACAGTAAGAACTGATTCGGAAAACCTAAATGGAAATATGTTTTTGCTCTGTTTCTGCTCTAACCTTTAGTTCAAACAAGCGATGCATTATGAACCACTTACTTTACGGAAAGAAAGTTCAACAGGTAGCTCCGCATTGAAGTTAAATAGAGCCACAGCTTCCCCATACTCCAGCACCTGCAGAGTGGGAGACTTTATAGGTGTCGGTTTTTCTGTAGGAGGCAAAACCTGTGAAAGACATTGGAGTTTTTAGCCAAATTCATGCCATTATACATAATATCAGCACATCACAGAAGAAGAAGAAGTTTACCTCCACATATGTTGTGGGGAAAATACCAGCTCTTCCATGATGCTCTCCTTCAAACCAGTTGGCATCTACCTTCCTGTGGATGTAAACAATGTCGCCTTTCTGCAGTGGGAGCTCCCTGAAGGAAGAAAAAAAGATAGTAAGGAGCATCTCAGTTTCTGATACACCTATAACTTTACATTCAGAGAAGAAATTACAACTTTATTATATCAGTTCCTTCTGTAACTTACTTGGGTGACTGAGCCTGGAAATCAAACTTGGCTCGTGCTGCTTTCATCTGGAGAAACAAATAGTGTTTTGGGAACAATGCAGTTGTCACATGCAAACAATCCAGCCTTCAAAATAAAATCAAAATGCAAATGTATTTATTACGGTCTTCTTTTTTACGTAGCAATAAAGTGGTAGAAACATACCCTTTTCTCCTCTTTTTTAGGTGGGACCTCCATGGTTTCATTTGCAGGCGAAAGACGTTCTACTGTGGAGCAAAGTAAGGAAAGCAAGTGAAGTCTGATACATGCACTCCTTTGTTCCCTTGTTGTTTTTGAATGTGTTGCTGTGTAAAAGCAATTATAATCATAACAGCTACATGGGGTTAAAAGGGATTTTGAATTTCCAGGAAAAACAATTGGATAGCGCTAATCTTTAATCAGGTCTTCCGGGTTTCACTTCCTACTTTTAAGGGCTTCCTCCCCACCCATCCACAGCTGTTTCTTTATGAGGAAAAAAAAAACTACAAAGACTTTCTGTGGTAACTTGTTAGCTTCAGCTAACAAGTAAAATAGCAGGAGACAACGTTAGCAATGAAAGACAGCCATGAGACTAACAGCAAATATTAGATTACTCAGGGCTTTCATCAACTACATGCGGATTGATTAAATGAGAGGCCTGTTCTCTAAAAGCACATGTGTCTTTGAGTGAGAGTGGATTAACGAATGAGGAAAAGCTGATTGTTATCAACTTAAGGAGAGTTTTGTAATAAATCACTATCGACGACATTGCAGAGATGCTGGGAAGGCCTCAGTGTGCATGTGTGTTGCTCCGTGTTTACCATATGTGGGCACAGAGGGTGATGATGGGCCAACAAAGTGATGGACAGGCTGCTTTGATGCTGATGAATTGCTGAAAAAGTGGAGAACATCGTGACCTTGATTTAAATCTGAAAAGTTTATGTCTCTTTTCAGTTCTAATATCAAACATTTAGAAAAGGCACAAAGTTAAAGCTGGGAGTGTGTGTGTGTGTATGAGTGTGAGAGAGTGTGTGAGTTTCCTGCACATTTCCTGTATATAACTGAAAGGCTGGAAGGGCTTGCAGACTCCTTGACTTGAAAATCTGCTTCCAGTAAAGTATGAGGCTTTAGTTGTCTTTACAGCCCCTACACACCATTCATTAATCCCAATCCTGAGTGTTTGCATTTGAATTTGCATTTGGGTTGGGAATGAATCCGAAACCCGAAAGATTCCAGCTTGGATTCCTCATGAGCTGATTTGCATATGCAGACAGCACAGTTCTTGTATCTTAGTGGTTGCAGCTGGACTCGCACAGCTAAACAAAGTGTCCAGATAACAGGAAGCAGTGAGGAGCTGACAGAGTTTCCCTGCTGTGTGTTTTAAATTTCCTATGTCCTAAGCCAAATCCCCTGAGACTGAAAAAGTTCACAACCAATGAACTCAACTTAGCAAACAACAGAGAGAATCCTCCAAGAATGCATTACACACACGGGAAGAAATGTGGAATGTCGTCAGCTGATTAAGGTAAATACTGTACTTGGACTTGTTCAATTAACAGAAAGTCACCTGAAAAACCAGCAGGTTCCATGCAAAGTTAATGGTTTTTCTGTCAAATCACAGTGCTGGTTTTCTTAATACAGCAGGAAGAAAGGAGCTGTTACTACTAAGAGATGACGCAATATTAAAGTGGATTAAGAGGCAGGGAGTTGCTCTCAGAGGAGGTCTGTTATGTAGTGACCCTGGATTTTCTATTAACCTGTCCTGCATATGCCACTATGATACAATGTGCACAGGAGATGAAAATCACTTTGAAAACTTTTAAACATTGCCACAAAATAAGAATTCCTCAAACAACCTGAAATGCATACAGACAGAGGTAGAAATGATCTAAATTACTTAAAAACTACGGATAATAATACGTGGTTATGCCAGTTAATATGGGTACATATAAAGTAAGGAAAAATAGAGAATCGCTCGTAAGAAAGCAAAAAAGATATAATTTAAATCCAGCTGCATATCATACAGAGTAATCATTATTACATCCCTTACTCTGTCTACATATTATAAGTGTAACAATGCCAGTGACTGACCTGTAACTAGTAGCGCCACTCTTTGGAGCAGTTACTGGATCCCTCCCTCTAGCCTCCTGCAAGCAGAGTGAACAGTAAACACAGTTATTTTCCCCTAAAGCCTTCTGTATCTCACAGCTCAGAGGAAATCTCACAACAACTCAGACAAAGTCGAGGTGCTGACCACTCCCAAAGGAGCAAGAATTCCCCTGGGTCCTATCCTCCTTAGGCTACAAGCAGCACCTCTCATAATCTGTCTGAGCCGCCTGTGATTTCAGTTAAATTGCAGACTATGAGGCTGATTCAATCACACAGGAATCAGGAAAAAGCATGACAATTCTTGGCTGTGATACTGCAAGGAGAGTTCAGAAGAAAATAATCAAAGAGTACTGAAGAATTTGATTTTGTAATTCTTTTTCAGCAGGCAGGTCTACATTCGCTGTGGAGGAACTTGCAAGCAGGCGATTTACAAAGCAGACTGATCCGAATGCAAAGGCAGACAGGCAGACTATATCATCCAGGTCGCATAGGAAAACATGTCAGATAAGGAAGCAGAGGGATCACACTGGCGCACAGCCTTCATTGGAAGTGTAGGGAAGTGGCAATTCTACTAAATTGGTGGTGTCGGGGGGTGGGATGCTTCAGCAGAGAGAGTCAGGAGGGGGGCTCAGTACCTCACCCCAGCCTCGATGCTGCTTCTTCTGGGAAAGTCTCCGCTCCAGGCCTTGAATATCCGAGTCCAGCTCAGCCTCAAATCGACTCAGCTCAGACACCAAACTGGCCTGAGTCCGAACAGTTATGGAGGTGGAATAGCAGGATTAAAACACTAATACAGAGTCTGAAGTTTGGAGCTGATGATGTCCCCTGTTACGCATTTTAAACAGATGACATCTTAGAACAGAGAAATAAATACTGTAAAAGAAGCTCACCTCTATTGAAGGAGACTTGGGTGTCTCTTGTAGCTTCTGTGCATATAGATGTGACTATGGACAAAAAAACAAAAAAGAAAACAATTGAAATGAAATGATATTAATGAATAGAGCCTTACTGATACTGGAATACCAATATTGATATTTGGTGATTTAAAAATCCAATATTCCAATATCAGTTATTTTTTTCTGTCACACACACCAAGCATAAACAGATTTCCCTATAATATGTAATTATTTATTTAGTCGTTCTGCTCTGCCAGGATCAGTTTGTCGGTGTTTGTGCCGTTAGAACAAGTAGGAGCGCCCTCCAGTGGACAAACTATGCATCATCAACACTTATAACGTGGCTGACAGCATTTCTTTACTTTTTAAATGTTCATTTACAGGCTGTTATAAATGCCAACACCAATAAACCGACAAACCACTAATATCAGCTGATAATATCGGCCCCAGATAAATCGATTGGGCTCTAGCTATATAGGCGCCCCATGTAATTCCCAGAGATGTCTCAGTTCTGTGGTTGCTTAGTTGTAAAATATTTCACTAATTTATATTGTTTTTTATTGGATTTTGAGGCCCAGGTTGTGTACAATCTAACACTTGTAGCTTCTTCAGAAATAGGCTGGCTGCCAAGAGACATAAATCTGCATTTTTGGTTTAACTAGCACAGAAATCCCTCTTTTAATGCCTCTTTGCCTTCATCCCTGATTCTATGAAACATTACTTTAAAAGGCTCTGCTGGTATGAAACACAGGCTAATGCTCTACTTTTTTGTAGCACCTTGGCTTAATATGTCCTACTGAATGCCAAGTCCTTCCCTCCTTTTGGGGGGGCAGTCATCCTCACTACAGTCACAAACTGTAATGTCACTGTGAAGCAGCACAACACCTGATATGGTCTGTGAGCTGGTTTTGTAAATACTATCCAGGGGATTCAACATTGGCCAGTGTCATAAAGAGGAAATGAAATAAGTCTCCATGCTGTGAGCCATTATACACCACAAGAGGTTAGGACCATAATACGCATCACAAGACCCCACAGCTCCGGTGGGGGAGTGGAAACAAAGATTTCTTTTCTTCACAAGTGTAGACACAAGGCACAATATGCACCAGATCTGGGACATTGTTGCAAGACGCATTCAAAATAGAAACTCTAAAGAGACACCGGTCTAGTACTCACTGCACACTCAGTTACAATGGCTCTTAGTTCAGAGCGTCAGCCTCACCAGCCTGTAAATCACTGACTTAAGGTGTAAAACCCCTCAAGGCTCAACATAAATACATAGGTAGTGTCTTTTTTTGACTGAAAAGATAAATGAATGAATGCTGGGAGCCTACTGGATCCTCTGAATAAAAGGAGTGAGTACATCTGGTGGTAAGTGGTAGGTACCGTACACTGACCACACTCTCAAGTTATTTAAACACCTCACGTGAGAAGATGGAATACAAAGACTTAGACTGTAATCCTTACAGAAAAGGTAACCAACCTCTTCTTGAGCTCCGCACTGGGAAAACAGTGCAAGACTGTAGAAAGAATGCGATTCGTAAGAACAAACAACAACCTGGAGCTTAGAGAATCATGAAGGAACATTTTTAATGCAGGAATCAGAGCCTGCTTTTAAACTATGAGAGCATGTGAGTTTGTACCTGACTGTGGCTTTCTGAGGTGGTGCTCTTTCCAGGCTCAAAGTCGAATATGCTCTTTGGTTGAGCGTGCTGCTTTCCTGGGTCTGACAGTCTATCTACATCCTCGCTCCTGAAATATAACACCCACACCCACACACACACACACAGACACACACCATGGACAGCAGTTTAATGGTGACTTCATTGTAAGTGCCTGTAACAACAAATCCAAACTTGTCGGTCCCACACATTTTTTCCCATACGCTCTTGGCTTTGTAGTTTTTGACGGTACAGCTATTCACATAAGACATCAGCAGCAGTCTGTATCTCATGTGAAAATTGCCGTAAATGAGTATTTATTAATTAAGATATAAACAAATACTAATTTATAAATAAGTATATGGAACTTAGATGTGCTTCATGCAATAAAAATATGTTAAAACTGATCTGATCTAAAACTTTAACCTGTTATAGATCTGGATGTGGTGCAGAAGCACAGTAACATTAATCTCAATCATAAGTTCAAAATGAGAATTTGACTTTTTTTTTATACACATTTTTTCCATTTCCTGTCAGCATAATGTGAAGCCCCTCTATGAAAGCTCTTTTCCGCCACTTAAAAACATTTCTTTTTTGCTATCCATAAGTCTCAAAAATTTGAAAAGTTTTTCATCTCTATAGCTAATTTCTTTCCAACTTCATAGGTAGGAATGAGCACTTTAGTGGATTGCCTGCTTTCAGAAAAAGGTGGATGGCAATAAGCCATCTACTGCTCATCATTACTCGGACGGTCTGAGTCAGTTTACTTGACCTCTTGACCTGTTTGCAGTGTTTGTGCCTTTTTAGAACATTTTAAGTGAACGCACCTGGCATAATGTGACTTTCTGTGTGGTTGATTGTAACAATGTTGAGTTCTGGAAATGAGTGCATTTCTAGTATTATTGTATTTAATTGTTAACACTAATCAGCAAGCACCTGTGTTGGATATCCTGCTTTCGACCCTCTTCTGTCTAAGTTCATACTCTTAGGTCTAAAACATCCATCTTACACTGAATATAAAAGCTTGATTAAATTTCTCAAAGTTGCAAACGTTTGTTATTCTCAGTGCTCCTGTCTTTTTTCATGTTGGGATATGAAAAGTCATCCCGTGACCACAAAGGAGTTATCTCAAATCTCACCAGTCTGGTAGAGCTCCATGAGGTGTTAGTCTGAAGAGGTTCTTGTCTGCTTCATTACCTTCTTCTGTGTTGGCAGACAACTGCATCCCTGCAGATCAGTGCACATCAGCCTTGAGTAAAAACTGATTACATAACCGAACAAGTCAACAATGTGGAATTTGGGGAATTTCCTTACTTTCAGCTGACCACTTCTCTGAAGGCTCCAGCTCAGGTTCTGGTGAACAAGGAAATTATTTCTTAGACTAAGTGATTAGGAATGTCACACCAACATATTTCTTTTATGTGCTTGTTTAAGAATTACTTGCAGCTCACCTGCAGTGTTTTGTTGTTCTTTACTAATTTAAGACTTATAAGTAAATGTTTCACACATAAAAAGTAGATCTCATTTAAATTAAAGCAACTAAACATTCTACTAGTGTACTAAAGAGTCCATTATGTGCTGTATATGTTCTGTACATAAAGCTTTAATCTACACAAGCAGCTGTCCAATTATAGAAGTGGAAGGCTTTAATAAAAAAGAGTCAATAAGCATAAAGTAAAGGATGCAGATGTTCCAGTGTTTTCATTCTTAAACTATATCTCATGCGTTGAGATACGGATGAGATACTGATAGCTGGGACTCAGTGGTTTCATTTTGTAATACTGTTAGATAAAGCAAAGCACCTGCTTGTCTAAACCAAAATACTTGCAAGGATCCACTCGAGTGCTGTGAGGGAACTTTTTACTCTGCGCACAGGGAATGTTTTTCTATTATGAAACCTTTAATAGACTGCAAATAACCAGCCTGATCTAGGAGGGGCTGAGATAAGAAGCTGGATTATTGTCAAAGCTAATAAACAGAACAGATATAAGACCTTAGGGCTCTTTCATCATGCCTTTTTCTGCCCCCGCAGTAATCTGTTTGCTGGATCACCTCAGCAGTACCTGACACGGACACCGAGAGGAATTCACACTGGAGCTGGGTATGTGAGGGAGAGGGGGGAGTGTCCTTACCTTCTGGCTTCTTGTGAATCTGCCTGAACATGCTCTTGTACCAGTCTTTGGGTTTGTTCACACTCTGGTATTGAAAGAAAGAGGAGGCGCAGAAAGTCAAAGGATTTGGCTAAAAACAACAACACTTCTTATGTAACTAGCATTGTAGAATTAAAGCAGTGCTAGCTCTGGCTTACTGATCTTGAAGCAATGGGCATCCCAGTCTCATCCACTGGGCCAATTCCTGAGAACTTGATGAGCCTTTCCTCCCTGGTGGGGCCTGTGGCAGAGCCCCGAAGGCCGTTGGACAGTCCGCCTAAGTTGTCACAGTAACAACATTTCCTTTATTGTGCTGTTTCACTTAATTACACAGGAATTTGTCTGCTTATAAATCCTCCTACATCATATGAAACCCATAGATCAAGTTAAGGGTATTACACACCGGCTGATTTTTCAACCAAATTTAACATTTTATTCTTCACCTGCTTTCATTTATTACCCTATAAATCACAGTGACTTGATTCATCTTTGTTTTCAGCACATGTGGTAATTCTTTTTCTTGTTATTCACATTTTAAATCCTTCCAGGTTACAAATGCGTCCCTTTTCAAACTACAACTTCTTTACTTTAATTTTGTAATCTTACTATTTGACTGCGAGGGTCCATAGTATGATCCAAAGCTGAGAGTTGCTGGGCTCCCCCCATTCAGTTCTGACACCTTGAAAAGGACAGAGATGTAGAAATCAGCCCTGTGCCAAACATCAGAGTGTTATGTAGCTCAAACCTGCAGCATATATAGCGTGTGATGCTTTGTTTTTCCACAAGGAGGAGCACTTGCATCCTGAATACCGCTCCCTCAGCCTCAGCATTGTTAGATACCTTCATTTCTCCAGATGGCAGCCTTGCAGAATGGAAGGGGCTCAGGGGAGGAGTGGGTAGTCCAGGAGAGATGATCACTTTGAGGGTCAGATCCGGAGAAGTTATTAGTTGCTGATCTGAAGAAACTCCAGGTTTCCCGGAGTAGTAGGTGCCATCTGGATCAGCAACCACTTCCACGCTTTGCTAAAACAGAGAGGAAATGAAAAATATGGATGAACGAAAACAGTGTGTGAACTTTGCTCCTGTCATGTTCTCCTATTGACGCTGAGTAAACAGCACTCGCTTATATAAGGTCATGTGAACTTGTTGGCGGTCAAGCTATTCTCTAGAGAATAACTGGCCTGAGCAGAAGAGCTTCTGATGAAAAGACCCCAAATTTATTTAAAGCACCAGCAGCGGAAAAGTCGTATTGCACCCACTTTGTCGTCTCTCTTGCTCCAGCTGCAAAAAGGCAGCACTGAAACAGGAGAGGGTCATTATGAGCCCATTAACTCCCCATTCACCAGGTCTCCCTGTTCTTGAGCCGGGGGTGGAGTCAGGGCAGAGAGGTTGGGAAGGGGTCGAGGATGTCAACCAAAACTCCAGCAGTGGTAGCAATTGTCTTACGGTCTCCATAGTGATACCCCAGACCATGCTGGATCCTTTGTTCCAACCCAGTTTATCAGGTGCTTTGGTCCTTCATCCTAGGGGTCATGGGAAATCCCCTTTGCCTCATGGTTGAACTCTTATCTGCACCAATGGCATGGTGACTGTGACACTACACTGGACTGATCTGCGTCACACTAATGAGTGTTTCTCCCGCCTGTTCATATTTGCTTATTCAAGACAGCTGCATTTGCTAAACAGTTGAAAATGTCAATATTTAGCATAGCTGCAATTGACTTTACCTGCGACTGCATTAGATCTGTTGTGGTTCTTGTGTGACAGATATCAAGTTCTTGTGCACGGCATCAAAAGCATCTGCAGAGACACAAATTCATAAAAAAATAAATAAGAAAGTAAAGCTTTAAAATTCTCTGGAGTACAAAGTATAGTAATTGTATCCGGATTAAAATGGAATAAAAGGAGAAAATAGCATAACACAGGAATACTTAAAGTACAAGTACATTAAACCTGTACTTTAGTAAAGTACTTCATAAATTGTGTTCCTACTTATCCTATCCATGCTCTCAACTCATCCTTGTGTTGTAAGAGTAACAGTATTTTTGTCCAATGACAAATGCCCCCTCCTGACACGCCCCTGACAGCACCTATCCAGCTGCCTTCTTTTTATTCAAATGTGACTTTTAATGTTTCTGTGTAAGGTAAAGTGTTAAATAAGAAGTAACGTTAAATTCTGATTCATCTTCACAGAAATGGCTCATAACAACAGTTCTGATGTATGCCAAAAATTGTGATTTCTTTCTTTTAAAAACTAACTTTAAATAGATTTGGTTTTCATATCCTTCATGGATCATATTTCTGTTTTTGCTAGAAGTGTCCCATCAGTGTATCTGTGAGAATCCATAGATCGAAGGATATTATTGTTTACTTTTTTATTTCAGGTGATGTCCCCCAATTATCTCCTTGTTGGTCATGTCTTGTGTGGTGTAGCACAAAGCTCCCCAGTCATAAGTTCATATTTTACATCTAGGCAGACTGCCCAGCTGTTCCATTATCCCATCCCACTAGCTTTCCAAAAAGGGAAAATGAACGTCACCCACTTTTTCCCACTACTAAGGAAAAACCCACCCAAACACAATGAGTGTGACTCACACGTCTGCCTCACTCTTCCCAGTGTCGTAATAAGCTGGACTTGAAGCAGCTAGATGATGGGAAAGGGCCAGCTACTGAAAGCAGACACCAGTTTCAAATCAGCTGCACCTCAGACTAACAGATTGTGCCTGCTGTCTCAACATCAGAGGCAGGCTGAGAATAAGAGGAAGGCTATTTCTGCTCCTGAATGAGACAGACTCCTATAGAGATTAAATGGTCCGCATCATGTACGTATGCATACCACACCTTCTCTTCAGCACTAAATTCCTGAAACCCAAACTATTACAAAGGCAGTTTGAAAACAGCCCCCTACACCCATGAAAACACAGAAAATAGTAGTAACTTTTGAAGGAAACAATAAGGCTAATTTAAGGATAGTTTGCAGTCCAAAGCTATGTCTTTGAAGCATGCCAAGAAAGTCGTGACCAAGCACAAACCAGGCTACTACAGGCTGAAAGCTGCCCAGCACAATTTGCACTAATGAGTTTTCCATGTGGCGTTTGCAGCTGAACATTAGTCTATAATCATTGTGGTAAAGACCAAGAAATATAAGCACTCTGCGTCTCTGTGCACAAGGGAAAGAGACAGCACAGAGTCCGTGCTCTGATATAGCAAATGTTCCCGTTTCCAGACAACAATGTCACTCATCTGAGTCATCATCCCCCAATTACCCCAGTTACATAACACAAAATAGATGGGAACCGGAGGTTTGTGCCTTCAACAATACCATTAATGCTCAAGCATGACCGATGACCTATCATTGCCCAAAGCAATCACAACAAAATTATTATCCATCCTACGGCAGGAAACACTGCAAACAAGCTCCGTACATGAAGTCTCATTTACAGCGTGTTTGACACGCTGCTCTGTGTTTACATCTGGTCTCCCTGGCTCTATAAAGCCTCTCACTGTAAGGGGCTGTGCCACTGATGAATAATAGATGAGTAATTTTCAGCAGAACTTGGGAAGACGAAACAGTTTTCCTGTCACTGCTGCCATTTCAGTTTCCACATAAAGTAGTCAGTGACAGCTGCATTTTGTCATATGTCTTTGTAGTCTCCTTAAGATAGCTCAGCATTATCTCTTCTAGCCTCCAAATATCTGCAAACATCAAAGAATTCCCCGAAGACGTTACACTCTTACAGTTGTAACTCATTTTAAAGAGTACTTGTTGTTGCCAAATTCTCTAATAATTAGGCCAGTGTAGCTACTTTTGGCTGCTTCCTTATTCACAAGGGGTCATAACAGCAGGCAACTCTGCATGTTTTATTTGGTAGGGCTTTACTCTGGATACCCTTGCTGACACAGCCCCTAAAGGCGTTTGTGTCTCCTTAAGGGATCAAACCAGCTCAGTGTATGTACCTATCCCTGTTAGCCAAAGGCTCAGGCTTCAGACTGCATTTTCTCATTCACACTTTCATGTGAATGAGAGTGGTTATCTTTAACATGGTCTTGAGGCATACAGCTCTGGCTGTCAGTATAGCAGCAAACTAACTTTCAAGGGTGGCCTCAAAGGGAGGGTGGCTCTGAACCGTTGGGTGGGTACACTTAAATGGCCAGTATAACACAAATATGGAATATTCTGAACTGAATCAAGCAGTGCTATACTAGTAGAGAGGCATAATAAGGTCTCCCTCTGTTCAGAAGCCTAAGAGCTAAAATATCCTACTTCAGCGAAGTAGCTTCCTGATGAGTAAGCTCATGTCATAATAGTGACTCTCATTCCTCTGGAGAGCAAAATCCAACCCAGTAATTCTCCAGCACTGCATGCATTCCCTGTTTGACAGCACCAAACACAATCCTACCTAATAAGGAAAACTCTGAGTTGATATGTAGCAAGAAAACCGCTGTTCAGATGTCTGGCTACATTTAATCTGAACGCCCAGTTCATTCTTATGTAATTACTGAGACACAACATAGGAGGCTGCTACAAGCTTTCAAAGGCAGACCTGTGATGCTGTCATGGTGAAATTGCATCAGTGCCATAGCAGACGTATTTACAAGTAAAGCCCCCTGCTAGGTGAGAGGTCCTTTATCACCCCTAGATCAGGTTGGGGGTGGAAGAAAAACAGAGCCATAAAAGGCCCATGTGCACTTGAGATGAAAGGAGGATGCCCCGCTCTAGACATGATTTCACAACACCAGAATTTTATACTTCCAGCTTGCTGAAAATACTTCTTATTTTCTCTTGCTTTCCATTCAGTAAAGAAGAGGGTAACTGAGGACAGGCTGAATTAGAATCGGGGGATTTTCATATGAAATTCTCTGAATCGATCCCAAGGACACTCATCCGGCGTCTCAAAGAATTGAGCCACATATTCGATTGAAAAAACTGACGTCAACTTAGTTTTATCAGCAATATCAAATTAAACATTTGTATCACAATTAACTTTAAAAAGTGACTTTAGTGAAGCTGTAAGATTACTTCTCCTTTTAGTCCAAAGGGAGTTGATGACAAACCAAGCTATTATCAGAAGTTGTTGAGGCAGAGCAGAACCAGTCAGCAGCTACGAGGTCAGTGAACTTCACCACACCCCTGTGATTCCTCTGAGTCACAAAAGGAGGTTTCCACAGCTGTTAATAACATTTCTAATATAGTAGCAGTTTTGCAGACTACGAAAAAAATGTAAACCCATTTCACAGATC